AAGTTACTGAAAAATCCTACCAGCAAAAAACAAGGCCACGGGTTTTGGTTGGTTGCTTTTCTGCTCTCTGAGAAACCACCATACAGAGAGGAGAACAGATTGTAGATCTGTGCTATATAGCCACTTGCCCAAATATATATTGCGACGTAACCAAGTCACATAACTGATGTTGTATCATTTCCTGTCTGGATGAGGTGGAGTTGCTCAGCTGAAGATGGAAGAATACCTCCCACTGAGAACCTTCTGCATATGAACTTGACATTATTATGGAACCCTGGAGTACTGATAAGTGAACTGAGTGCAGTGATTTGGGATGTGTGTCTTCAGCCAAGAAGAGGTTGTGGTCTGTATAGTGGCTGTAAAGCCCCTGCCAGTGCTTTGTTGGTGTTCTTCTTCCTGGAGCTCAGTTTTTACTGCCTAAATTGACTCTGAACTGACACCTTGGACTATACTCTTGGATCTCTGCCAGGATCTTGCTTCATCAGAGGGGGATGATAGTGACAGCTGACAGGAGAAAAGTCATGGTAGAGGAGGAAGAGCCTGCTTGTCCAAAGAAAATGTTCATTTGTAGAGCTATGGTTCTGACGTTTTCCTGGAGATTTCTAAATATATTTTCTTTACATGCCTCTGCTCAAAGTATATATTAGCACTGCTGGTGGTAAGTGTGTGTAGGGCAAGTTCAAGTGCCATTGTCTAATCTTTGGAACTGGAAGGTAAGTAAGATAGTCATCCTTCCAGAGTGTCTTGAGCAAAGAGTTCTCAGGTGGCTTTCCTGAGGAAACAGTGGTGCTGGCAACACTGGACATGTGAAGGGAAGAGGTGGTAGTGGGAATTTGGAGAAGGGCAGAAAGAATGAAAAAATCAAGCACCAACTCATAAGGGAACAAACAGGAGGTGGGCTTGTTGGCAGCAGCTTAGAAAGGTGGTTGTGGAGACATGAAAGTTTCTGGATCAGTGCAGCGCTGTATGGAAGAGGACAAGCTGTGTTCATGGCCAAGTGCCTTTATCACAGTTGCTCTGACTGCATTCACTTGACAATTGTAGCCTTTTTGTCATAAACAGATATTTGAGATTAGAGTCCCAGATAAGTTTTTGGCAATATTTTTATCTGAAATGCATACGTCAGAGTTAATGGCCAGTTTTTCCACATGGAGCACAGGCAAGAAGGGCTCTGAGAAGTTTCACAGCCATGAGCCAGTACAGCACTTGGGAAACCTTGGCTAGCCTGTTGGATGACAACAGGCTGGCATGGCTGTGTCTTTCATAGACTGGAGCACCTGGGAGAGATGAAGCACAGTGCCTTCCTCCACTTGGGTCTCACAGCAAACTGGAGGTGCAGGAGGTTTGATTAGGCTGAAAGGCAGTTAAAGAGGAGGGTTAGGCAGCAGGGGAGTGTGTATGTTTGTGTGTCTGTAAGGAGTCTATCACCAGGCTCTGCATGATGGTGGAATGCAGATGGACAGAGATGTGTGATCTGCAGCATGTGATTGTGATGGCCACTCACAGCCTGATCTGGGACAGCTACGAAGGGTGTTCCTGCATCAAGAGGTTTGCAGCTGAGTCTTAGCAATCTGGCTAGATCTGGAGAGGAAGGGCATCAGACTCTACTTTTCTGGCAGGATTTCTCAGGTGTCTAATCCAGAAGGATGGAATGTATGGATGGCCTCATAGGCCTGGCCCTGCAACCTTCCATCTCCTCTTACAGTGGATCTTGGCATGTTTGTACAGCCAGGAGGTTTTGAAAGGAGGATTTGAATTCAGCTGCTCAGTGTATTTTCTTACACATAACCAAATCTTGGATTCTAGTGTAACCTGATGCAACTGTACTAAACATGCAGATTCTCTACTAAATGTGTAATTATCACCTTTCCTTTGGCTCCCTATGGTCTCAGACTTAAACTGGATGTGTACATTTCTCTGTTTGTGTCACAGCAAAAGCGGAAACTGAGGCTTTACATCTCCAACACCTTTAATCCTGCCAAGTCTGATGCAGATGACGCTGATGGCAGCATCGCCTCCTGGGAGCTGCGTGTGGAGGGGAAGCTGCTGGATGATGTATGACTTGCTGTGCCTCGCTGGGCTGCACGGGTCGGGACATTGTCCTGGGGGGAGGTGCTCTGTGCTGAGGGCAGGAACTCATAAGAGACATGGAATGGCAGGGAGTGGCAGCGTGGACCTGTTGCTGCCGGGAGGGTGCCATGTCCAGCCCGAGTGAGGGATGAGGCTTAATGGAAATTTTGGGAAGGGGCAGGGAGGGCATCAGGAAAGGGAGCAGACCTGAGGACAGGACAGGAGGAGCTGGAGAGAACAGGGATGAGATGATTCTCTAAAAAGATTACAGCAGGGCTCAGGTCACAAGAGGTGTGGTAATTGAGGCCTACGGCAGGCATTGCATCTTGTGACAGGGATAACAGGGAGAAGCCAGGAGTTCATATTCCTAGAGAGGATGAGAGGATGGGTGGATGGTCAGAGCAAGGACAGAAGGAAAGTTTTATAATTCTAAAGTCCTCAGAAACCTCAGCCATGGGTTAAGATTTCCTTGGGGAAGGCTGGACTTGCCTAATAATGACATCACATGTTTGAATAGACTTCACAAGCTCTAAGTATTTGATTGGATGTAGAGGTGGGGAACATGCATGTACGGAGAGGACAAGGCTTTCAAGGCACATCTCTCAGTCTGTCCTGTACATGAAACAGAATCATAATCTTGCTGGAGGATGAAGGGAGGACAAAAGTGTAACATCTGGATTATTTATTGGAACAGAATAACTTCTCAGTTACTGCAAATTACAAATTGAAGGAGAATGTATTTCTAAAAGATTTTCTGCATTAAGTAAGAAGATATTAATTAAAATCCCATTAACTGTATTCTATGGGAAGTCAGATTATGTGATTCTAGACCTCCCAGTTTTTAATGTAGACAGCATGAGCTGTGTCGTAAACAACAAATACTGATATTTAAATGGAAAAGCAAAATGTAACAGGAAATACTTTTAATCTGTATGAATAATCTGTAAAATTTACTGTCATCTGGTAAATCAGACCAAGGAATTAGCATTAATCAAAAAACCCAAGCTGTTAAAATAAAAGGTACAGTGGCCTTAGAATCATAGAATCACAGAATTGTTTGGAATTAGAATCATAGAATGGTTTGGGTGGGAAGGGATCTTCAACCCAACCCCCTGCATGGGCAGGGACACCTCCCACCAGCCCAGGCTGCTCCAAGCCCCATCCAACCTGCCCTTCAACACTGCCAGGGATGGGGCAGCCACAACTTCTCTGGGCCACCTGGCCCAATGACATCACATGTTTGAATAGACTTCACAAGCTCTAAGTATTTGATTGGATGTAGAGGTGGGGAACATGCATGTACGGAGAGGACAAGGCTTTCAAGGCACATCTCTCAGTCTGTCCTGTACATGAAACAGAATCATAATCTTGCTGGAGGATGAAGGGAGGACAAAAGTGTAACATCTGGATTATTTATTGGAACAGAATAACTTCTCAGTTACTGCAAATTACAAATTGAAGGAGAATGTATTTCTAAAAGATTTTCTGCATTAAGTAAGAAGATATTAATTAAAATCCCATTAACTGTATTCTATGGGAAGTCAGATTATGTGATTCTAGACCTCCCAGTTTTTAATGTAGACAGCATGAGCTGTGTCGTAAACAACAAATACTGATATTTAAATGGAAAAGCAAAATGTAACAGGAAATACTTTTAATCTGTATGAATAATCTGTAAAATTTACTGTCATCTGGTAAATCAGACCAAGGAATTAGCATTAATCAAAAAACCCAAGCTGTTAAAATAAAAGGTACAGTGGCCTTAGAATCATAGAATCACAGAATTGTTTGGAATTAGAATCATAGAATGGTTTGGGTGGGAAGGGATCTTCAACCCAACCCCCTGCATGGGCAGGGACACCTCCCACCAGCCCAGGCTGCTCCAAGCCCCATCCAACCTGCCCTTCAACACTGCCAGGGATGGGGCAGCCACAACTTCTCTGGGCAACCTGGCCCAGGAGCTCATCACCCTCACCATAAAAAAGCCTTCCTTACATCCAATCTAAACCTGCCCTCTTTCAGTTTGAAACTGTTGCCCCTTGTCCTGTCAGTACAGGCCTTGGTAACAATTATCTGTCCATCTTTAAGAGCCCCTTTAAGTATTGAAAGGCCACAGCAGATCTCCCCAGAGCCCTCTCTCCAGGCTGAACATCCCAGCTCTCCCAGCCTGTCTCCAGAGCAGAGCTGCTCCAGCCCTCGGGCTGATCTTGTGGCCTCCTGTGGACCTGCCCTAACAGGTCCATGTCTTTCTGGCACTGAGGACCCAGGGCTGGATGCAGTGCTCCAGGTGGGACTCAACAGAGCAGAGCAGAGGGCTGGTGCAGCCCTCAGCCCCTTTTCCTGGCCTCCTCTGGACCCACCCTCACAGGTGCCATGTTCACAGTCCTTTTCACTAATATGAAGAGTCAGGGACATCGTCCCTTATGTGTGAACTGTTCCACCACTGTTAAGATTTTTGCATCTTACACTGCATTTGTCAGAGGTTTCAATTAGGTTGATCACAGTTGTGGTCTAGATAGGAATTAATGCTCAAGAGAAAGAGCCTGGGAAGGAAGCAGAGGACACAAGCTAATATATGCAGCCTTAAATATTTCTGTTTCTTCTGATTGTACAGCTCAGCAAACAGAAGCGGAAGTTTTCGTCTTTTTTTAAGAGTTTGGTTATTGAACTGGATAAAGATCTTTATGGACCTGACAACCATCTTGTGGAGGTAAGAAGGTCATGCATCCTTTGCTTACAAACCTGGTACTAGCAGAGATAAACAGGTCTGTGCCCATTGTCTACCCTGTGTATCTTACCTTCCATTCATTTTCTCATGTAAGGTATTTGCAGTTTTCAAAATGAGATTATTTTTAAGAATGTTTAGTAACAGAATCTCTATAGCCTGAAAACACAGATGTGGTAATGATGTAGTGCATATCCTAGAACAGAGTGTATGACATGATTAAAAAATTTGTTTTTTTCCTAACAAGTAAAGTATGCTAACAGCACAACAGATCGTGCACTAAAGCTGAATTCCAGGGGCAGAGCTAGAAATTATTTGGGGTTTTTTGTTGTGCTGATTTTTTTGGTTTGTTTCTCCTTTTTTTTTTTTTTTTTCCCCAATTACAAGATCTTCAGGAGGCTTGTGCTTGTCTTACTCTTGCGTGGCATGCTGTGCAAGATGCACCTCGGTGAAAAAAAAGCTGTCCATCTTATTTACTGTTTTCTGCCACTGTTTTCCTCTGGCAGTGGCACAGAACTCCCACCACCCAGGAGACGGATGGATTCCAGGTGAAAAGGCCCGGCGATGTCAGCGTGCGGTGCACATTGCTCCTCATGTTGGACTACCAGGTCAGTGCACTGCTTTTGGCATGAAAAATACAGCCTCTGGCATAGAGTGCAACAGAGCACATTCATCCTGTCACACACATCAAAAACCAATTTACTTGGACTCAGAATGTCACTGGGTTCACTGAGGTTAGAATGATACCAATCTGACAGATTATTTGAAACGTAAAGTAAGGGGGGCACATCAAGTAACTTTCTTCTATAGTTCTTGGCACTATGAGAATTTGTGGTTTTGTTGCCCATCTGCAGTAAGACTATGCATCTCCACCTCAGGCACCTTAAGAGAATAGTCAGATAAGTTGCACATGAGTTACGTATGTGGTCCTGTTGAGAAATTCAAAGGAGTGGCTTTTGCCAGTGGTACCTGAACCAGCTCTGCAGCCTTTTCCTGACAGCAGACTACACATCCTTCCTGTTTCTTAAGTTTTGGTTACATTGTCGCCCTAATAATGGCATAAGACAATGTTTCCCTGCAAGTGGGAGATTTGCCATAAATCATTACTCTTTTGTCAGTTTTAGTAATATTTGTGGACTGAACACAAAAAGCAAGGGAATTGATCCATTTGAAGGCTAACAAAACTTACTTCCAAATCAGTTCCCTGGTCTTAGTCACAGGAAACAAACAAACAAACAAAAACCAGTAGGCAAAATTAGGTTATTCTGCCTTGGAATAGCACATAAGAGGTTCCTGGGCACAGTTTTGAGCTGTTTTAAGCAGCTGTAAGGCTAAGCTGCTTCATTCAGCTGTGGGTGGGCACTGCCACAGTCTCCGTTCTTGTGGCACAGGCAATGGAGACTTACAGTTGTGGAGGTCAGTAATCTGACTGAATCCCTGGAAGAATTGTTGCTGTCTGAAGCAAACTGATGCACTGCAGAGGGGAAATGGGATCTCCTTTTGCAATGGCAGTTCAGTCTCAGCTACATTTTGATTTTATAACTTCAAGAACTCATTCCCTATCATTGTCTTTCCCCTCCATGCAAATAGCATCTATCCAATATAAAGACACTATTTTATGTTAACAGATAGAAAATTTTGTTTAGTTTCGGGAGCAGATGAGCTGACTGAAATGCTGATATAATCAGTGAGAATCTTTATTGTTAAGACAGAATAATTATGTTTGTAATGCTCATCATTATTATAAATTTGTACTTTAAAATAGATGTTCTCTTATCCCTAAGCCTTGATTTGTTAACAAAGCTAGCTTTGGGTGAGCTACCATTAAACTAGACTGTGTGTCACAACCCAGGTAGGGCAACCCAGGGAGGTTCAGATCAGACCCCTGGCTTTCTAAACTCCTTCTCAGAGAGCAGCCTCGAGCAGCTGGATCCAGCCTTAGTCTCAGGCCCGGCCCATCCAGGGAGAGTGATTAAAATGTGGTGGTTCGAGGAAACACTCGATCATCTGTGACCTCTTGATGGGATCAAGTTGAAACAATCCTCAAGGTCTGTATTTGAATATTAGGTTTAATTCCTTCCTATAGAAGGAATACTGACAGCTCAATTATTGTCTCAGGCTGTGCAATCATAAAGGTTGATTATTTAGATCACAAAAAACACAATACAGGTATGTTGAAGCTGCACAGCCTGAGAAAAATCATGGTTAGGCCTTGTGTTACTGAATGATTTTAGGAGGGAAAAGTGAGAAAGAAGAGTTAGAGAGAATCCCCAGTGCTGGGCCAGGCAGTGAGGAGAGTTGGTGTCAGTGGGGCTCCCCAAGCCCACCAGCACAGCCCCTCCTTTCACAGGCCTGTTTCACTTAAACAATTGTTTTGCACCAATGAGTAATGGTGGTCGAGACATCCCACCACTGAGCAGCTGGCATGGACCTCCACCCCTCTGCTCCTCACTGTTCTCTCTGTGCAGGCCCAGGCCATGTGCAGACCATCCTCCTGTCCCCATCCTCCCAGAACCTCCTTTTGGGCTGCAGACAAGGTTCTGTTGGAGGGCTCATGTGGGTTAGACACCACTTCCCCAACAGGTCCTGAGAGCCGTTCTCTCACACTGTGGATACACACTTGAGGAGGCACAACATTCCAAGGTATCCCCAGAGTGTATGTTATGAGAGATGCAGAACAGGGTAGTTGCATCACAGAGGTCAGGAGAAGAAATATATTCCACTGAATAGTTGTGGTTGGGTAAATGTTCTGGTATGCAGCAGAATGGTGGGAACATGCTTGAAAAGCAGAGTTCCAAGGTACTTTGTTGGAGTGAGGGAGCTGAGCAGTTATGAGGTTTTGTCTCTGTTACCTCCTCCATCTCCTCTCCCTCTGTTGCAGCCTCCGCAGTTCAAGCTGGACCCACGGCTGGCCCGGTTGCTGGGGATACACACGCAGACCCGCTCAGCCATCATCCAGGCCCTCTGGCAGTACATCAAAACAAACAAGCTGCAAGACTCCCACGATAAGGAATACATTAACTGTGACAAATACTTCCAGCAGGTAACTCCTTATGGACACAGTAGCTCTTCAGAGGCAAACTATAATATCCCTCTGCAAATTTAGGAAGGATGAAAGTTACGGCTTTTATCTCCTTGTAATGATGTGCAGTATCTCCAGGACTGAATGGCTTTCAACAGTCACTACAACTAACATGAAAAACACCCTCCCCATGTGCCACTGTTGTCAAAACACCACAGCTGGTGTTTCAGTGCTCTCCCGTAAGTTGTGGCCTTTCCATGAAGGACTTTCTGTTATTGTTTCAATATATTGATTGACTATTCCCTCACCTTGATGTATCATTTTGCACTAAGAAACATGAAATAATCTGCTGATTCTGATTGCCAAGTCATATGTAGACCTGTTTTCCTCCTTTC